CAGGCAACTCTGCCTTGGCATTCTTGGGGCCCAGCAGCCCAAAACCCTGTCAGAACTGAACATGGTCTACCTGCTGAGTAAAACACTGCCTATATTCACCACACTGAAAAGAGTCATTCCCTCAAGACCTTTTCTTACACTGAATTAGGACTGAAGAGTGTGAATCCATTTTTATCTCTATGAAATTCACAGTGATCATTTTGATTTTTCTCTCTTTTTTATCAGTCACAGATTTCTCTCAAATCTTTGCTGTCTTGCTGCTGGCTGTCCGGGGGGCGTGGTCAAACTGCTGGCTGCCCCCCCCAGGGGCGGGGTCTCCCTGATGATGAGCCCTGGGGAGGTGGGGTCTCCCTGCAGCTACTGGTCAGCAATGGGGGTGGAGCCTCTCTGGTGGCCTGCACTGGGGGTGAGGCCTTGCTGTCCTGCTGGTCTGGGGCTGCTGGCTTGCAGGGGGCGGGACCTCCGCTGGTGCATGGCCCCGGGGCTCAGAGCCCATGCAGCAGCAGCCCCCCTGCTGTGCAGCTGCTGCTGGTGTGCCCCACTCCTCCCCCACCCTGGTTACACAGACCTTTCCTGCTGAGCGGGTAAGTTGCTTCCCTGCTCCTGAATCCTGCTGAGGTGTTTTTTACCAAGGCTGTTTGGAGGGAGTTTGGGAGGGCGCCAGGGGCATTCTTCCTCACTCTGCCAGCTGGGCACCGGAAGTCCACACTATTGCTTCCATCCCAAGCTGCTGTGCCTGGTTTTCTGTGATTGGTTTAGAATCTGCTGTCTTTTCTGTCCCTGTGACTGGGAATCCAGGTTTTTGTTTGCAGGCGCTTATAGCGGGAAGAATATCTGTGGCAGAGAATTCCTCAGGGGTGCCAAGACTTTCCCACAATCCTCTCACAACTTTTAAAGCATAATTCATTCCCAGCATCCTGTGAGTTGCCTCTTGTATGGGATGCAGATGATATTTTGAGTGGCTCAGACACCCGGCAAGCTAATAAGATCACTATACAAAAGCCCTTTTCATCTTTTTAGAAGATAATGAAATAGAAAAGTTCCAGTTTTGCCAACATCAAGTCCAATAGGGTGGACATCCAGTATCTCCTAACGGCCAGCAAAGCTTATTGGCCCAGGCACGGGCCTTAGGGAATATGAAGCCCCCTGCCACCAAGCAGGAGAAAAGACGGGCGTCTTTGGACGCAGGAGACCAGGGGTGCCCTCCCTTGCCTCACTACAAGGCTCCAGGCTAAGCCACCTGGGCCTCTTCAATGGAGTAAAGAGGAGTGGGCGGCTTTTGGCAGTTAAGGGGACCTCTGATTGCTCTTCCTGTTTTAGGAAGTCCAGATGATGCGAAAGAAGCCCTTTGGTTTGGGTTGCCATGAGTCCAAAGGGCACGTTGTGGAGTGCTAACCTAGAAACCTGCCGCTGATTTTGCAGCATGGTCAGATTCTGTTGCTTCTCGCTGTTCATGGTCTGCACCATTGAGACCAGGTGCAAGACTTCACCTTGGGGCATTCAACCCGTGGCAGCGGAAGCGAAAGTCCATGAAACCCAGAATTCATTTCTAAGACACTAAACCTCTTATAAACAGGCTCTGTTCTCTGATCCACTTTAGTCATTGAAAGATGCCATGCCCAGCGATCCAGCCACTCCGCAAATGGGGAAGGGCTGGAGCATGATGGTTCACAAGGTATAGATGCTGATGCTAGGCCTGGGCCTGACGTTCAGCTGCACCTCTTGTACCTTCAGATAGGAGTCTATATGTGGGTGGGTCATGGCACAACCTTCCAGAAGACCTTAAAGCTGCATGTACAGTTGTTATGGATTTGGAGATGGTAGAGGCTAGATCTATAATGTCAAAAATCAGCTCAGGCAGCCAAACTTAGGGCATTAATTAGAGCAGCGGAAATAACAGAGTCAGTGAGTTACAATTTGTACTGACTCTAAGCATGCTTTTGCTATGTCCCATGCAGCTGGACACATATGGAAAAACAGGACCTGTGAGTCCGCAGGGACTCCGGGGATGCCCGGCAGCTGATGGTCCACCCCCTGGAGGCTATTCATCCTCAGGCCCTCACTGGTCAAGATGATCCTGTTTCTAAGGGCAATGAGAGGACAGATTGGGTGACCAATGAAGCTACTAGAAAACAAGAAACTGGAGATCTGAAAGGCTAGGAAAATGAGCTCGAGGCACCCCTGGTGATTTATAGATTTGTGATGGCCATGAGACTCTGAAGTGGGAAAATAGCAGCAGCAGAGAAAATGAGCAGGTAGAGTTCCTCCCTGATGAAAGAATGCCACTCCCTGGATTACCTGGAACATGGATGATTATGTCACAACATAAGATGCATGAAGAAATGAAGAAATGTTGTTAGAGCAATGGCTGAACAAATTTTGGTATAGGAATTGAATGTAACCCAAATATGTCTTAAGAGATAGGCCATTTCACTGGCACTTAACTGTCGTACAGTAATGCAGTGGGCACTGAGTGCACTCAAGGGACTGATTGATAAGTGTAACAACAACATTGTAGGTGGCACAGAGGTTAGAGCTCCTGGCCTGGAGTCAGGAGGTACTTTGTTGTGAGTTTATATCTGGCCTCAGACACTTCCTAGCTGTGTGGCCTGGGCCAGTTGCTTCATCCTGTTTGCCTCGGTTTCCTCAGCTGTAAAATGAGCTGCAGAAGGAGTTGGCAAAGCACTCCTGTATCTCTGCCAGGAAACTCCAGATGAGGTCACAGAGAGTCAGATACGACTGAAACAATTTAAAAACAACACAAAGGCCAACAACTTTGAAAGACATCACAACTCTGATTATTCTATCAGCCACTACACCAGAGCACTTATAAAGATGTCCTGAGTGAAAGGTAATAGATACATGATGTAGAATAAAATACACATTTGGGAAACAGAGAGTTTGGGGATTTGTTTTGCTTGACTAGGGGACTTTATTACAAATATTTTATTTTATTTTTTTAATTTTGGGTAGGAAAGCATAGCACTGTAAGGGGACTAGGAAGGGGATGTCCATCCCCCTGTCCTCCCAGAAAAGAAAGAGATTGATGGATTTTAAAGCAGACACTGAATAGAACAGGAGGAAGGCCAGAAGGCAGTGAGGACAGCTTAGAAAGGGCCAGAGGGCCATGCTGAATTTTTTAATTGCTCATAAAGAAAATCCAGCTGTACATGTTAGAACTTGTTTCATGTGCAATCCTCTTTCTGGTGTATCTACAATTTTTTATACATTTTACTTCATGTTTGTGAATTTCAAAATTTTAAAAATCATATATGGATGGTTTTCTTTTTGGCATTTGCACCAATTTTGAAGGTAGGGCAGGAAATGGCAAATGTGATTTTAATAAGACTTTCTCTGACTATTGGTGTTTTGGAAGATTTTTTTTTTATGTGTCCTTTATGGTTATCAGGACCTTTGAATCCTTATATCTTTTCAGCACTGAATTATTGGTAATGGCTCCTGGTCCACATTTGAAACTTTGGATAGAAATGACTTTTGTTGGTCATTTTTCATGTAACATTTGATATATTTTCCACTCCACAATTTCCATTCTTATTTGATCTTTATTTATTTTATTCTTTAAGTTTTATGTAGTTATAATGATCTATTTTAAAATATTTATAGCTTGGGTTATGAATTCTCCTAGCCACAGTTTTAAAAAAAAACCTGAGTGTGTTTTGTTCCATTTATGTTTTTATCTAATTTTTTTCAATAAGCAAAAATTCCACCAATCCTTCCCATCCACCTCAAATTCAACAAGAAAACAAAACCCCTATTTACAAACGTGAATAATCAAAAGCAATATTCCTGCGTTGACCTTGAACAAAAATACATATACACACATACGTGGGTGTGTGTGGTTGTGTGTGTCTAATTCTGCCCTGAGTCCTTCATCTACCCAGAGGCCAAAAGCATATTTTGTTATTTGTCCCCTGGAGTAGTGGTTGGTCATTGTGTCGATCAGAGTGACTAAAGCAGAGTTATATTTCTTTACAACAGTTGGTTTTTACGTAGATTATTATTGTTGAGTTGTTTCAGTTGTGTCTGACTCTCCATGACACCCTTTGGGATTTTCTTGGGAGAGATAACTGGAGTGGTTTGCTATTTGCTTCTCTAGCTCATTTCACAGATGAGGAAACTGAGGCAAACAGAGTTAAGTGACTTTCCCAGAGTCACACAGCTAGTAAATGTCTGAGGCTGGATTTGAACTCAGGTCTTCATGACTCCAGGCCTGGAGGTCTATCCACTAAGCCACCTAGCTGCCATGAATGTACATAGTTCTTTGCAAATCTTACCCTGTTTTCCATTCTTGGTATCCTCAGATCCTCTTAGTTGCCTGGTCAATACTAGATGGTCTTTTCTGCCTTTATCAGACTACATTTGGAATCAAGGCTGGGTCTGTTGAGACTAAATTGACTTAGAGGTAGAACTTGAATACAGACTATTCCAGGTGCAATTTTACAATTTCCACAGTCAGTGTACGGATAAATTGCCATAAAAACACTTTTATAGTAGAAACAAGCTTGGATAGGCTTCTTCCCCCTCTCAAAAAAAAAAGTTCAGCTGTGAGAGGTCTCAGTTACTAAGTACTGCACTTCATTACTTTGGAATTATACAACCTTCTTCCAGCAACTTCTTTTCCAGGGCTGTTAAATTTTAAGGCCCTGCCCAAAGACAAGGTCCCCAAGCATCTGGGAAGTCCCCAGTGGACTTTAGAGATAAGGAGAATTTTCCAAGAATTTTCCAATTTTTTGTACTGTTTCCAAACAGTAAGTTATTCTTATTATTCATTTCAAAGACAAATAAACCCAATTAAATACTTAACAGTTTTCCCACGTAGTACCTATATTCTCTAACAACTTAGTTCATAATTCACAGCATTCAGATCAAAAGAAGAGTTAATCTTCTAAGTATATAATCTGATTATCCTCTGTGCATCATGTTCCAAATTAATAGCATTTCTTATTTAATAATTTCCCCTAAATTACAATAAAAGCAAAATTAGAAGGGTAATAATTACATAAACAATATTATACATTGAATATATGAAATAAAACCTATTGCCAGTCAAATGACATCCATTCTGTTGAATGCATTTCTGAATAACTTTGCATGAAAAATCACTTTATCCTTCTATCAATTTGACATTCTTTACTGATTGCATTCAGAGACCTGTATAGAGTTCTTTTGACTCAATGACACTTTTAATTATTATTCTTCGAGTTGTTAGCAATAACTTCTATAGGAAAGACAATGACTCCTGAGGTAGATGAGGCAAGCTAATTTATTATATGTTCTTCAAGAAGCAGAGGTGCTCCTAGAAGCAGACACACCCCGCAGAGGCAAGAGCAAGCAGTTGTATTCCTGTCCTGAAATGTGAGGTCCCTCCCTCGTTTCACCATTGGCTGGATACTTTCCAGAACAGCTACTTCATAATACTCCTTAATATGTCGCTCCCTCCCTCTACATATAACATTGTGCCTAGAATTGTGTTAATCCTCTCCCCCCAAGTTAATATGCATAAGCTCATTAAGCATGCACAGTTTGAACATTTGTAACTGTCCTACTTTTCAGCACTTTTGATTCTGAGTATTCTTATTAAAAACAATTCTGAGTAAAACCGCTCCTTTCGCATCTATAGTTGACTTTAAGACCACTTCCTCTACATCTGTGGAAACATAATTTCTTATACCTTACACAGTTTCTAAATATATTTTAGTGGCACATTTTAGGTGTATTTGAATTAAGGTACATCAAAATTATTCTAATAAAAGAACACCTCAGACCTGAAATGAAACCATATCATTATTTAGTTAGGACAAACTCAAACCAATCCTTTCAAGATTCAGTTTCAGATCGCATCACACAGAACCTCAATGCCCATTTACTGCCAACAGCTCAGAATACTGGCACTACTGCTTTCAGGTGGTCTACTTCAGTTACTGGGCATGAGGGAGGGAGGTGATGGAGCTGGGAGGGTATAGGAGCTGTCCGGGGTAACTAGCTTGGTGGGTGATGGCCCAAGTGGAAGGTGAGCCCTGGGAGGAGGCCAGGGTTGCAAGGAGGGTCAGTCCCATGGCCCTGGAAGTGCAGGGGATGGAGGCCAGGGCTTGGGGCAGAAAGGAAGGTGGCAGCCTGAGGTCCTAGCCCTGAGTGTGAAAAGAAAGATGCTGGGGCCTCAGGAGCTAGGCAAGGAGGGTCTCTTGGCACTGGGAGGACCCTCTTAGAGAGGGCAGGCCCCACTATGGCCCCTGCCACCTCTTCTTCTTGCTAAGTGGCCAGCCTTCTCTAGATAAACTGTGCCAGGGATGATTCCTCCAGGCAGCCTGGGGAGGGAGCAGCCCTTGGGGCCCAGATCTCTGGGTCCTGGAAATGCCAGGTTCCTGGGGCCTCAGGGCAGGGCAGGGCAGGGCTGTGGGGCCTGGAAGGAGCTGCCCAGAGCAGACTAGCCCTGAGCCTGAGCTCTTGGGGCTGAGATGCCCCTCCTCCCAGGAGCAAGCCAGGTGGGTGTGAGGCAGGCCCCTGCCCAGCACCCTGCTTCTGCGGGCATCCCCTTTGTGGTGCCTGATCCTTCCCATGTGACCTCGTGGTGAGTGCCCTCCAGGGACACCGGGAGCGCCTTCCCTCCCAGGCCCCTGCTTCCTGGCCCCTGCTTCCTGGCCAGGCCCCCCCTCACCTCCCCAGGGTCCTGGGGCACCCTCCCCCCTGTACCAGGGGTCCCACAGCCCGACCTCCAGACCTTGCTCGACCCGGAGTCCCGGACACTGCTTCCTCCGCGGGGGATGGGAAGCCCCTTCCTGCCTCGGGGGTGTCTGTGGGGCGATGGGGGAGGGGAGGGGGCAGGAGAGAAGGAATAAGAGGGTGGAGAGTGGTCCCCGTGCCCGCCCTGCTGCCCCCTCTTCTGCTGGGAAGGGCAGTGCCAGGGGCTTGGGGACCCCTCGGGGGTCTCACCCTCCGTAAATCCTTGTAGGCCAGCCCCCTGCCTGGGGGTGAAGGCGGGGACGTCTCCCCCGGATCCTTCTGCCTCCCCTGAAGAGGACCAAGAGCTGGCCCAGGCAGGGAGGCCGAGGGGATGGCCCCCGGACCCCCGAGATCCCCATGGCAGGTGAGTGCGGGCAGCCCCAGGGTCGACACCATCAGCAAGGCTGGGCGTTAAAAAGAATAGAAGACAGTAGTAACAACACTGCCCTGCCCTCCTCCTGGCTTTGGACTGCTTCATGAGCTCTGGCGTCTCTAGCAGTAACTTCCCCCCAACTTGCTGCCCTCCTGGTTTTGATTTTTAAGCTCTCCCTCATCACACCTAACTGTCCAAGAAAACCATTTCAGTTATTATCCTGTTACATGTAGAGCATTACTTTGCTTTCTTTTTTGTGTTCCTAACACACACACACACACACTCACACACTCTCTCTCTCTCTCTCTCTCTCTCTCTCCCTCTCTCTCTCTCTCTCTCTCTCTCTCTCTCTCCCTCTCTCTCTCTCCCTCTCTCTCTCTCTCTCTCTCTCTCTCTCTCTCCATAAATATCTCGTTTGACCCTCTTGCAAAGGCAGCGCAGGGTATAGCCAGCCAGGTGCACTGCATTTTGTAGCCACTCAGGAAGGTGACTCACACCAGGAAGAGGCCATGGACGTGCATGTCCTTCATTTCCAGGGTTTATACACACATACACAAAACACAGTTTCCGAGGATTCCCCAACTGTTAAAAGGTATTTCACATTTCTATTAGAACCTGACCCCCCCCAACAAACAATAAACAAACAAATAAACAATTTATTTTTCAGTTAATTAGAATTTCCTAAACTACTACTTGCGTTCTTTGCCCAGATTAAGAAAAAAGGTCTTACTCCTGGAATTCTTCCTAGTCCTAAAGGTTCTTTAGTTATGGAGGGGAGAGAGGTAGTGGAGACCTTTTGTACCTATTGAAGAGGCAGGCTTTAAGTCTAAGGATTATAATAACAGAAAAATTCAGTTATGTCTCCCCAAAATCCTTTTTTTGGACAGTTTTCGCTTCAACACTATGAGGTAGAAGTTCTTATTAGTTTTATTTCACCGTTGAGGAAACTGAGGTAAACAATGTTTAAGTGACCCACCAAGGATTGCATAGCTAATAAGTTTCTGGGACCAGATTTGAATTCTGATCCTCCTGGCTCCTGATCCAAGATTTTATCCCCTGAGTCACCAGTTACTTCTCACTGGGAGAGTTTTGGACTGCTCTCAGGTCCCTAAATAGAAAAGAAACTAAGTTATTGAAGTGTCTGTTACAGCACCCAGAAAGGAAAAGATGTATCAACCAGGTGAACAGCTTTGAAAAGAAGACTTTGAAATGATCATGTTGTTTTTGTTGTTGTTGTTGCTTTTTGGAGACAATCGGGGTTAAGTGACTTGCCCAGGGTCACACAGCTAATACTTGTCAAGTGTCTGAGGCCAGATTTGAAAATGAATACTTATTTGTCATTGACAAATTAAATATTCATGAAGCAAAGACTTAAGGTGTTTTGGCTGAGCCAAATCTTATCCATGGCACCTCAAGCCCTTGATAAAACTGTAAAAAACTCTTCGTCACTTGACTGGTAACTATTTTGTGCCACTCAGCACAGTCAGGCTTTTTAATTACTCTCTCTCTCTTAAGAATCCTCTTCATGTTTTCATGTAGATGAGGCTTTATTTGACCATTAGGAAATTAACTGGATTATTCCTTGTTCTTTACTTTCTCTTCAGTGACCACAGGTAGTGTCTTTACCCCCAGAAGATACTGGCCAGCTTCTCACAACGTCTTCATAGGATTTTCTTAACACATCACTATGAGAGTTCTGATGAGGAAAAGGTTTCACATCACCTTCTCTCTTTCTCCTCTGCAGATTCTGATTCCTCACTGATAGCACACACATGTTCTCCCTGATTCCATAAGGAGAAAAGTTTCATAGGAAGATATTTGTGAACTTTGTTCCAACTGCATATATGAATTGCTTTTCTCCTTTGCCCATTGGGTTTTTAATGACTGTGGGTTTAAGTGTTGGGTCCAAGACTCATAAGTCATATGACCTTTAGGAAACCCCTTCTCTGTGCCTCAGTTTCTTCCTGTACATTGACGAGGGCTGGAGGAATTCTGCAGTCTCTTTCATCTCTAAGTCTTGTGAATTCTGATGGTTAGGAGTCACTGACATTCAAGGATGTGGCAGTGGACTTCACCCAGGAGGAGTGGGGCCTCTTGGACCATTCCCAGAAACAGCTCTACAAGGAGGTGATGCTGGAAAACTCTCAGAACCTGCTCTCCCTGGGTAAGCACAACTCCCCCTGGGAACTTGGAATCTGCCATCAAAGGAGTGTCTCCCTCCCTTCCCTAGAATGCAGGGGGATTGAGTGTTTATCAGTGATTAGAAACACAAAAGGGGTGGTCTCCCAACAGGGTCATTCTGCTACTTGGTTTTCCCCACCAAAAGTCTTTGCATTTTGGCCTAGGAAGCTGGGACTGTCCTTCCTTGCTCCTGAAGCTGTCTCTTTCCTATTTGAGGTAGCTGCATGTTCCAAAACAAACAAGGGTTACAGAATCTCAGACTTGGAGCTAATCTCACATGTTATGTAGCCTAGGCCCTGGCTAGCTGAGAATTTTGTCTACAAATTCTCTGAAAATTGTTCATGCAGCTTTTCCTTGAAGCTGGGCAGTGAACCCCCTACCCAGCAAGGTCACTCTTCCCCTTTGGGATGGGTGTAGTCTTTAAAATGGCAGTTGAGTTTCACAGTGGTTAGATTGCTGGGCTTGGAGTCAGGAAGATTACTCTTACAGAATTCAAATCTGGCCTCAGACATGAGCTGTGTGACCCTGGACAAGTCACTGAACCCTGTTGGCCTCAATTTTCTCATCTGTAAAATGAGCGGGAGTAGGAAACGGCAAACCATTCCAGTATCTTTGCCAAGAAAACCCCAGATGGGGCCACAAAGAGCCCTATGTGACTGAAAAACGACTGAACTACAACAGTCTTTAAACAGCTTTTTTTAACAGGCACCAATTTATAGCTCATGACGCTTACTCTTGCCTTGTGTAGCAAGTTGATCTTTCTTCTTACTTAATTTTTTGCCCAAATATAAGCACTGAGGATAGGAAAGCAAGAGAAAGGAATAAGCATTTAGGTAGGCCTCCTATGTACCAGGTACAGTGTTAAGTGCTTTAGAAATATCATTTCATCTGGTCCTCACAATTCCCTGTGAGTTTGGTGTTATTATTCCCCCCATCTTACAACTGAGAAAACTAAGGCAAACAAGTTAAGTGACTTGCCCAGGAGCACACAGCTACTCAGTGTCTGAGGCTGGATTTGAATTCAGGGCTTCCTGAATCCAGGTTCAGGGTTCTCAGCACTGAACTTCCAGCTGGCTCTAATTTCTAGATAATGAAGCTCTGGAATGTGACCATCTGTCTGGGAAGGAGTCAAAGACAGAATTGTCTAGCTCCAGATTGGCTGCATGATCTCCCCCTTACCCCCAAGCTCCCAACAGTAAATACCACATCCACCATTCTTGAGGAGTCCTGGAAACCGTCCCGTGGTCCTTGCTTACAAGTCTACGTTTCTCTGCATCCTTATCCTTTCTCTATTCCCCTTGGCCAGGAATCCCAGTTCTTAGAGAAGACTTGATCTCCCATTTTGAGGACAGGGAAGCATCATGGATCCTGGATCAAAAAGGCCCAAGGACGTCCTGTCCAGGTGAGTGAGACAAAAGCGAGTATCTGGGGACTGTTATCACAAACAACATCTGTGTTGTGGTGAAGGGAACACTGGGCTTGGGGGCAGAAAAACCTCACTTGGAATTCTTTTTAAAATGCTTTTTAGCAGT